CCTTCGACCTGGCAATTGAGTTAACTGAAAACCAATGTCGAAGTGTGGTCTGGAGGGATTGGACCAAGGGATGGTTTTGCTCCTCCGGGGGGGCTCCTCTGGTCAGGTTTATGGTTCATGGTTCCCGACCGTTGGGGGGTCGTTTTCGGGAAAAGCGGGCATGCAACTTCGTGATCCCACCTTGAGATCGGTGCCTTTGATGGATCAAAGCTATCATATTGATTCACATGGAACGACATGCAGCTGCGGGCGTTTGACTTCGCAGAGCTGGTCACAGTCGACCAGAAAGCTCGCAACACACTGACCATATTTAGACAATGTTTATTGGGTTCACGGCAAAACTTGGCTTGTGCAGCTGATGCCAACTATAACTATATCTACAAATCTCATCAAGTCTGTGTGCGAATCTGTAGGTCGAGTCTCTATGGGCCAACCATGACTCAAGTCGCATGAACCTCCCAAGTTACACAAATGGATGCATAGTAGGATATGGGGGGGAAACCAACCACTGGGTTTCAATCATGTTCAATCTACCTCCTCTTCCCAGTCATCCTCTTCCGGTCTTAAATCACACCCATATCATCCCATATCCTTTGGTGTTGCAAAACTCTAGAGCAGAATCCTGCCTCTGCGGAGTGCTCGTCAAGCTCATGGCTCAAGAGCAGCATCTCACTTTCCTCCCAAGAGGGAGAACGAAGAGAACACTGATGTCCTTTTCGGAATAATAGAGAGGTCGATTTGATACACCTATTGGTTGTATCATTTGGGGGTGTTCTTTTTTCATCAACCCACCAATACCGAAAGAACGACACACTGATCATACGTGCATACTGTCCCATGGTTTGCAGGTTGGTTATTGGACAAGTGAAACATGTATCTTGGACGGTCACCGCATTCAGTAGCAGTGGCTCAAAGTTGGGTATCATTCTATCCAAGGCATCCAAGGACAAAGTATGGTCAAATGAGCTTCTTCCCATGTGGTGAACCCCACCCGTCGTCACAGGACGCTTCTCGATGACTCGGCGTTCCTCGACGAGTCAGGGCAACGAGTCCACATCGGCTTCGGACTCCGGAGATCTATGAAATCCATAGAGTGATTGATGGTTGACTTGCATGGAAATGCATGCGGTAGAGATCCACGATATATATACACATAGAATTGATCATATGAACCCAATCAATCGGACAAATAAGAACTCCATGCGAGTTCGGAATACCTCACGCAGAACAATAATATATTATATATATCAGGCTTGACCCAGATTCGATCGTTTCGTTCTGGCTTCCTGGAAAACTTGCCGTGCCTGCTTCACCTCTGCGTCGGAGAGGTCGATTCATCTGGGTCCTGTGCTGCGTCGACGACGACTCATCACCGAGCGCGCGCGGAGCGGTGGTGCGGTGATCCCGATGGATCCAAGGTCCGGTGTTCAGACGGTGTATTAGCATGCAGGGGTGTGCTGGCTTCCTCAAACAAATCTGGAGAATCGCTGACCCCTCTGATATGAGTGCTAGGTCTCTGTGTGGGTGTGCATCTGTGTGCGTATGTGTGCCTTGGACAATGTTTATTGAAACACCCGTAGAGGATGAACAAGACAGTTATATACTTTTCCGGATCTATGTCAGTCAGATGGCATTTAACATGAACCCCCAAGAGTTTAGGCCCAATATGGGACCAAAGTCTCTCTGCTTCTGGCCCAAATGGGCCAGGTGGTCTCCGACTTTGGGTACACATCAGACTTCTGAGGCTTCAACTGAAACAGTCAATATTATTCTTATTCCGCCTTGCCAACGAGTCTTGGCGAGCTGCGCATAGCGTTGTGCGATGCGGCAAGCAACTAAATGAAACAGTCAATACAGCTGGTACTGGTACCATGATACTATGAAGGCTTAACCCTGGCCTTCCAAAATCATTAAAAGAAGTTGACCTGGTTTTGTAGTGCAAAATCCTGAGTAAAACAATGGTTGCTCAGGATTCAGGCTCCTAAATCCATGCTGGGCCAGGAATTTGAGGATTATGGACAGTTGCGCTGTCTGCCGCGCTGGACCATCGCGCCGTCCTCGCCTCTCGACACCAAACAAGGCCATCGACTTTCGCGAACGACTCGGTGGTTCGGTTCAAAGGGCTTTTGTTCAATTAGGTCAGTCGGCCTGGAGTCAGTCTGTTCTTTTAAAATGCATGTCAAACTGTCAACATCACGCTTGTTACAAGCTTGTTCTTTGTTATGGGATGTTATGGGAAGCCATGTTTTTATAGCGAAAATGAACCGCAATCATGACCCGACCCTCATTGGGAAGCCATTTCAGGCCCAGGGACTCTTGCCTTGCTCTTGAGTTGGGCAATCGTCCGTCAAAACCGGTGCTGCCGATGCTTCTCAATGCTTATCAATGCTTTACAACATGCCGGCGTGAAGGTTTTGAGGATCCAAACCCCTACTATGTGGGGTCAACCCCCTCAAAGAGTTTGCATACTTTTAAACTAGGGAGACCTCCCAGGCAACGACCCCCTGGAAGAAGGAAAATGACCATTGTGCCATTGTGCCAGGGGGTCTCTCTAACAATACACACACAAAAATGGTGAGGGCTGTACATCTGTCCTTCCGATAGGCCGCTGGTGCCCTGCAACCAATCTCTCGCGGCCATGGTTCAGCCTGGCCAATTCTCGAGTGCAAAGCCGATGAAGTCTGACAGACGTCAAAATCCTTCCCACACAGACGTCATTTTTGGGGCTTCGATGAAGTCTGACAGTCCAAATTCGGAGTTGTACACCGAATTTAAACGCTCATGTATATGCACTTCCATCTGCAAGCAAGACTATCGATTTTCTTTGCCAATGGTACGACTTGATAACGAGGTGTGCCCCTATTTGGACTCTGCTGGTGATGATGATAGTCAAGTTTTACTTGGCTTCCCTTGGCACTTTCCAGTTGCTCAACTTGTTTGTAGGACAGTCGTCAACTGGCCTACAAAGGCCCCCCACAGCGGACCCGGTGGCTTCCGACACTGGGTCACCCATTCAGCAGAAGCAGAACAGTTCGTTCTCATGCACCGTCATTGAAGCACCCCCTGATGATGGCGTCTGCATGTTGGTATCGACGCTGTGGGTGAAAAACAGGGGGACCATGGTTGATTAGTTGACTACCGATAATGAACAGAACATACTACCTGGAAGGTCAACCTACAAGGGTTTGGGGTTTCAGGTTTTGACTCAAAGCCTTTTGGATGAATAGGGTCGTTCATGGCCCTGGAGAGTGACTCAAGGCAGTAAGACCAGCTTCAGCAGCATTCTGTAGCAAATACAGGATTCCAACATGTTTATCTACCACTAACAGCTATGGTCGTGGTGGATCTCCGGTCGTTCGAAGACCTGTGACCAAACAGAGGAGTCCAAACTGTGAAAAACCACGCCTGCCTTGTTCGATCGAGAGTGATAGCGGATAGCGCAGGCAGCTGACCCAAAAAGGGGCTAAGCGTTCAGCGTTCTTCCCATCATGGCCCTTTGCCTCTTTCCTTCTCTTTCCTTCAATACCTATATAAGGATTTCAAAAAGATTTCAAAGGATGTTTCTCACCTCTCACCCAAATACACTGCATGCAGTTCAATCCAGCCCACTTATATAATGCGTCGTCTCAGTTGGGCACCGAACATGTTCCTTCGTTGTCATCCCTGAGTCTTCCCTCGCACCACAGCACATCCACTGTACCCCGATCCGTCTGCGTCGCCTCTCTCCACTCTTTGGCCATCAATGCGCTCTGGCGAGGTCCATAGGAACCATCAGGTTGCACGTAACCTGGACGTGTCAAGAAACGGTCGACGGCAAACCACCGCCCTGATGACGAAAGGATGTCCCGTCCATGCTCCGAAGACCCAAACAGGCCAAACAGGTGGCGCCAGCCACGTAACCATGATGATTCAGATTTCAGCGGACTGCCCGGCAGTGGTCACGATTGCTGCGCTCAACTCGACCAAAACTCTCGTTGCAATCGCCATCATATGATGTGGCCTGTTTCCCAAGATTGTTAGTCATTTAGTCCTCAATCCGGATTTTTTGGTTGTTTTGCTTTGAGACACTCGTCCGAGATGCCTTCCGGACCGGGGCGGAGGCAAACCACAATACTCCTCGCCCTCCGCCCTCCGCCCGTCCGCCTCCGCAGGTGCGTTCGAACGCACGCGCGTTCGGGAGCGTCGGGCAGATTGCTGGCCCACCAAGGCGCGCGGTAGGGCGGCCGAAAGGCCAAAGAGCCTCGGGGCTGGGCGTGGTCATTCCGGCTTCCGGTCATTCCGGCTTCCGGTCTTCGGTTTTGTGGAGGTGCTGAATTTGGGAAGAAGGATGCTCCTTTTCATTCTTTTTTCCAACACTCCCAAGGTGCCGGTCATGAGTCATGGCATTATGTTTGTGGGATCCCTTGCTCAAGACTTTGTTGATGCTAGTTGTGTACTCCAATTGATATATGCCGTGGGTGGAATGGTGCAAGTGCTTCTGTTTTTGCAATGTTGGATGTGCTTCAAACGCGTAATGGGCGGGAATATGCCCATTCTGAAGAGCTCCGGGGTGCAGGGGTGTCCAAACTGATAGTGTGAATCCCCGCATTTTCACATAATGTGATCACAGGTGTTACATGCACCACCAAGCACAAACAAACGCTGTTCGTGGCTCAAGAAAAGCATCGTCCGTTTTTCCATTGAAGGAAACTCAGGTTATGAGCCCAACAACCTGTTTTTCCATTTGAAGTCCACCCCTGTGGTCCAGGGTTGTTGGCCGCCATGAGTGGCTTCGCTGGTCGGCGGCGGCGTTCCTCTCGCGAAGGAGGGCGCCTGCAGGATCCTGAAGATCGAGAAGGGCGACTTCGAGTGGGCGCGGCAGATGAGCGGCTGCAGGCGCTGCTGGAAGAGCGAGAAAGCAGAGCAGCATCGGTGCCGGCGAGGACGGCAGCGGTTCGAAGGCTGGCTGCAGCTCCAGAGCAGGCTGGGCAAGCGGCAACCACTACCTCGGCAAGAAGACCGAGCAGAGAACCACAAAGCCAGGTTATGGGCCAACAGAATGGGCCAGGACAAGTCACGATTGAGTCGGCGCCGGGATTGCTGGACTCAGTCAGGCAGTCCTTGGATGTCTTGCAGCGAGCTTTTGGTGGGAATCCCCAAGGTCAAGGGCTACTTGCACCCCTACCTTGTGGACCCTATTAACTTGTACTACTTAAATTTACTTAAAGTAACTTAACCTAGTTACGGTCTACTTATGTTAACTTGTTCGTAAATTAAAAATGCAATCATAACATAAGTAGATATAAGTAACTTATAAGTAACTTATAAGTAGAAATAAGTAGAAATAAGTAGGTCGTGCTGTAGACCTTGTTTTTGGTTTTTCAAAGTGATTTTTGACAAAGAGCCTGTTTGGAAGGGATGATGGCACTAAGTTGCTCAAGACAGTGCACTTTGGATTGGTTTGCATGTATTTTAAAAATTTTGTTTTTTCAATGGTTTTTTCAACAGTGTTTGCTTATATCGAGCGGGCACACCGCTGAACAGCAATCAACGTGCTTGGCACAGTTTGTAGTTCAGGGTTCTCCGCCGCCATGTGGTCTTGGTGGCGAATGTCGCTCAGCGAACAGCCCGGCTATAGCCCCGAGGATCTGAGAATTATCAGTCAACATTTGGGTTCACGCGAGAAGTGAAAGATAAATTTGGAACAAAGTTGATGGGAAATCAACGTATATACTATGAAAAGTTGAAAGATAGTCTAAAGATGTTCAATAGATATTCTATAGATATTCTATCGATAGCATAGATATTCCATAGATAGCATAGATATTCCATAGATAGCGCAACGATGCGTGAGTATGGAATTTATATAATATTTTATCGATAGCATAGATATTCCATAGATAGCATAGATAGCACATCGATAGCATAGATAGCACATCGATAGCATAGATAGCACATCGATAGCAAATAGATATTCCATCGATAGCATAGGCGTCTGTCGCAAAAGCGGCGCCACAGGATCCATTGCAGCTATACCCTTGTTCAAAAAAGCCAACACTTGTGACTTTTCTTTCATTTTTCCTTGGCGTGAATTTACGTTTGTATAGCTTGGAACATATTCAGCTGTTGCTTGGTCAAGTTGTAAATATAGCACACATTCAGGAAAAATACAAAAACAAACCAGCCGACACGAAAAATACAAAAATATCATCAAACTCGTTCACATTGCGAAATAAAATAGAAAAAGCCAATAAACCTGCAAATAACCACATGTACATCGATTTTTTCAAAAACCTTGCAAATTTACGCAAAACTTCTGGAAAGACACTGCAAACATTAAAATTCACAAGGAAAATACAACTAGGATAAGTAAAAATAAGTAGAAATAAGTAGAAATAAGTTACTTGTCCTACTTAAACATAAATTTCCAAGAATTAGGCAAACCTACTTATGTTAACTTATTAACTAACTTATCTAGGCCTTAAGTAGGTACAAGTAGGTTATAAGTTCACCAAACCCGAACCCTACTTCTAAGTTACTTAACCATGTTAAAACCATGTTAAAACCATGTTATAACCTACTTATAAGTAGTACAAGTTAATAGGGTCCACAAGGTACTTCAACACCATGATCTTGGACACCTTGCCGGTAACGGTCCTGGGGTTCCTGCTGGGCATGGAAGTGTGTTTGGTTCACCACAGTGTCCAATTCCACCTCGAGGAGGACCATTGAGCTATGGCCCTACGGTTGAATTGGGACCACAACCGAGAGTTCTTGAACCCTATCCCATGGCTACCCCTCCTCCGATGAGTGGAGTGAATGTCAACCCCTTTTGGAGCACGCAAGCACGAGCACATCCTGCATGAAGGTGGGTTGGAGCCTGAGGGGATGCACCAGGGGGAGGTCAGAAGGTCGCCAAACTATGTCGACGTGGAGGCCATCAGGGAGAAGGTACTCAGGGAGGCCGAGAATCTCTTTGCCAAGGAGATCAAGAAGGCCACTGGTGGAGCAGAGTCATCATCCTTCGAGTCGGTGCCAAGTGCTGGCCGAGAGCCTGGGCGGTCATCGGTTGGTGTGATGGGACCGGGCGGAGGAGGCAATGGGGGTGAATCGGCTCGCGGCGATGGTCGAGGGTCTCAACCACATGGTCTTGAGTGTCCACCAGGGTTGCAAAAAGAAGGAGTTAGTGATGGTCCTTTGAGTAGGTCTGAACCACCTCAGGGGGCAGTGAATGAAGTGTTTAGAAGCTTGGAGTTACCACCTTTACCATCTCCTGGCAGCGATGGGGCTTCGCTGGCTTTCGGCGATTGGCTGACGGTGGCTATGCCTCTCATGTCGGATCTCTCATCCTCAGCGAGGGGTTGGTGGCGAGCGAACATCATGGAGGCGGAGGCGCTGTATGAGACTTGGCTGAAGTTGAAGCCGCTGGAGAGGCTGAGGCTTAAGGTTGATCGGCCTTTGCACCCAAGTGCAGTTATGAACGGGTGGAACACCGTGGAGTGACCATTTTGCTGGGGGTTCTCCCTGATCAAGTTCGAAGGGATGTCATTGCCTCTAGAAAGGTGAGCTGCCTGGGAATCTTGTTTCGGCTGTACACCATCTTCCAACCAGGGGGTTCAGCTGAGAGAACTGCGCTCCTCAAAAGCATCACCGAGCTGAAGGTGGGTAATGGGGTGGCAGATGTCTTGTCTGGAATTCGCCAGTGGAGGCGATGGATCCAGCGTGCACAGGAATTGGGCCTGACTACACCAGACCCTTTGGTGCTGGTGCAAGTGCTGAACAGGGTTACAGAAGCCCTGGGTCGACATGGAGGTGCTCAGGTTTCATTCAGAATGGCAACAGCAAGGCAAGATCTTGCAGTGGATCAGTGTCCGACGATGGAATCCATCATGGAGTATGCGGAGTATGTGCAGGCGGAGGCTGAGGATCTGGCGTTGATGGCTGGCTCTTCGAAGGTGCCTCCGGCAGGTGGGAATGTGAACACGTCCACAACAGGAGGTACAGCTCCGAAGGTGGCTGCGTTCAATACTATGAGCTCTACGGAGGAGAAGCCAAAGGCTCCTTGCAAGTTCTGGGGGTCCACCCAGGGCTGCAGGAGGGGCGACCAATGCACCTATGGGCATTCATGGGATGGCATCAACAAGCAGAACCGGTGCTTTGTCTGCAGCGGTGAAGGACACATGTCACGAGAGTGTCCTACCCGACGTGAGCGAGATCAGAAAGACTCGAAGAAAGTGGCGAAGGTGAAGAACCCTCTGCCTACCAAGGAGTCGCCAGCGAGTGACCTTGAAGCTCCTGACAGGTCAAAGGAGGAGACCGCTACTACGACTACTTCCCAACAGTCCTCAGGGTCCTTGAAGAGCACGCAGGCATCAAGGAGTCGGGATGGGGAGAAGGTCGGAGGTGGGGGAGAAGCCTCGACGGGGAGTGCAGAGCCGGCGGCGGCCTTGATTGCGGAGGCTACGAGTTTGCTCAAATCATTGAGAGCGCTTAAGGCCTGCAGGCTTAAGCAGGTCTGCAGGATACAGCCCGGCGCTGAGCAGGAGGGCGAAGTGGCCTTGCTGGATGGAGGAGCGACGCATCCGTTGAGAATGGCGGAGGTCGGGGAGAAAAGCCACCTCATTCCAGTTCAGGTGGAACTTGCCCATGGATCGACGACGCTGTTTCGAAAGGAGGGATGCAGCACTTTGTTGTCTTTGGATGAGGTTGAGCCGATCATTCCATTGAGCCTGCTGGTGCAACACGGCTTTCGGATCGACTGGTCGGCAAACGGATGCACAATCAACCATCCTCGGCAGGGGCCGATACTATGTTGGCTGCGGGGGGGGTTGTCCAGTGATGAAGAGGACTGCAGCTCTTGCTACGCTCAGGGAGTTTGAAGAGTTGGAAAAGGGACACTACAGCATCACGGCCGAGGACGCTCAGTGGCGGGAGGAGAACATCCCTGGGGTTGTGGGGGAGCTGTTGGAGTTCATGAAGGGCCAGTCATGGTGTCCGGCGGGGGATGACCTTCCCTGGAACCGGAGGCAGAGGAGGATGCATCAGACTTCGAAGGGAATCATCGTGCACCTGTTCTCCGGCGCCAATGTGAAGAGGTGGAGGGACTCGCTGCCTTCAGGGTACACCTGGCTATTCCTGGACCCGCTCCTTGGGTCGAGGTATGATCTCCATTCACCTCAAGCGTGGGGATATCTATGTTGGTTGGCCAAGCAGGGTCGAATCAAGGCTGTTTTGGGAGGTCCTCCATGCAGAACAGTCAGC